ATGTTTATTTATTTATTTATTTTAATTGGTTCTTTGCGTGGGACTCTTTCACATCGTCTCGTCGACAGAGGGGAGAGGAACGGTGCGAGACAACGAAGTCGATCAATAAGATGATGGAGCCACGACTTTTTTGTGTTTCTTTTTTTTTCCGGCGTACGAGCACATCAACGTGCACACACACGCACACACACACACACACACAGAAGAAGAAGGAGCGAAAGAAATGGGGCGGGTAGAACGTGCGGTAATCGCATCGCACGTTGCATCGCTTTAGTTCCTACCGTCATTGGGGTGCTCGCGCTCTCTCTCTCTTTCTTTTTTTTTTTCTTCACGTATGAAGGGCTTCTTTCTTTCTTTTTTTCGTTTCCTCTTCTTATCTGTTCCACGACCGGATTACAAGTTGCTGTGTAGCATACGTACGTGCAAACATACAGGGAGAGAGCCTTTTTCTTTTTACTCTTACTACTGTAATACTGTCGAGCATACAACCACATACAATGTCTTATACAGATCTCGTCTCATGTTTCCTTCGTTTTTCTCTCTACAATGAAAGGGAACCGCAAGGATACGCAGCGACTTCGCTCCCCCTCCCTTCTGCGCGTAGGCGTGTAAAACTCACCGGATTTGCTACACAAGAAGTAAGTTGAGGAGGACTATTATTTTATGTTCCCTATTTATTTATTTTCTGTCCCGTGTGCTGAAGCGTGTTTCATTGCCTCACGGTTGCTCTTGTTGTTGTTCACAGTGTTGGTTGTTTTTTTTTTCTCTCTCTCCACCATCTTCTTCTGCCTCTGCTCATTCCCGCTGAAGGTTTAGATGTCTCTCATCCCTTTCCTGGCATCTCCTTCGCTCATCGACTCTCTCCCTCTCTTTCACTTCATTTTTTCTTTATAGATGCTGTTGAACACTGTGGTGCTTGATTGGAGAAAGAGGCGGTTGCGTCGCGTTGTCCAAAAGAACCCAGCAAAAGGAAAAGCAATTTGTGTGTCATATTTTTGTCTTCGGTGTTCCATTGGAGCAACCTTTTTTTTTTTCTTCCTCTTCCTCCGTCTCTTTCACGCTGGTGCCGACGTCACTCTTGCGGGAGACAGGAAGGGGGGGGGGTGAGGAGAGGAGCCCAAGGTGGAGTCAAACGCAGTCACCTTGGCCGTTGTGCGCATCTCTCCTGCAATCCTTTTTTTTTGTTGTTTGCTTGTTTTCTGTTTCGTCCTATGACACGCAAATGTGGATACATTCGTTGGTGGAAAGAAAATATCTTGATCAAGCAAAGCAGCGACTATCTTAACAGCTCCCATTTTCATTGCTTCAGCAAAAGCCGCGGTGATTTAACTCTGTCTTTCTGAGAGCAAATTGCCGCACCCCAAGGCTTTGGCTCCCTTCTACTGCTCCTGTGGCCAACAGCAGCACTCTCCACCTCTTCTTTTACCTTCTTTTAATGATCCCTTTTTTTTTCTTTTTCTGCGTGTCCCAATAGATGGTCTTTGCGCAGGAAGTTCCCCAAGAAGAGGGGGACGAGAGGTACAGCGGATGCGTGAAGAGGGCAGTTAGCAAGTGTCCGGCTCCGTGAGCGGAATCGAAGCGGCGGCCAAACGCTACCCTTTTGAGTGTGTGTGTATGTGTGTGTTTGCAGCTGTTGTTGTGTTTCTATCGCTTTTTCATTGACTGCTTCCTACTTCTTCTGATTTTGCTTATATATGTTTATTTATTTATTGCGTCGCGCGAGTGCTGAACTGAGCTGCGTAGAGCGAGCACACAGACGCGCCATTCCTAGTTCTGTGATGGGCTGTTGTGTTTGAGCAAATGTATATATGTGCACGAGTTGCTTCCACAATCGAGAAAGAGCAGTGTACATTTCTCCCTCTTCATTTTTTTTTGTCTTTGTACTCGCTTATACACAGAGAAAGTGTGAAGCGTACACACCAACGGTGCTGTTCTCTTGCTTATTTTTTTTTTGTTGTTGTTGTTGTTTTCATCTTCCTTCGTGCGCGTGTGTGTGTTTCCCCGTTCTATCTTCGACAGTTTTTTTTTTTCATATTTCCTTTGTTTTTGTTGTTTGGGGACATCATGTATATCTGTTAACCGTTTCGATTCAGTTTCTTTTACATATATATATCTATTTCGTTAACGTCAAAATTTATCTAAGGTGCGCTAAAGAAGTGTCTAACAATCAAAATAAAGTAAAAAAAAAACAGGGAACACATGCTCCAGATGAAAAACGGAAAAGGCGAAAGGCGGAAATTCGCATTCTGTGCTGCACATTCGTTTTACTCGTCATTTCGGCTCACTGTGCAGCTCCTGCGCTGATTTGTATTTTTTTTTTTTGACGGTTGTTTCACGGAACACCACGCAATGAAGCGCAGAGATGACAGCTGCTCTTCCTCTCATCACTGAAAGAGCGAGAGGGATTTTTGGATGTGTGTGTGTGTGTGAGTGTGTCGCTCACCATGTATCCAACGTCAGAGGGTGCTTTTTGTGGAGTCCAGAACTGTTTCACTCACTGCATGGTATTCTTCGTGTGTTAATCGCGATGCAATAAGTGCCAGTATCCACATTAGATCATCTCATTCTTTCTCCCCTCTCCTTCCCTCTTCCCCTCTTGGTATTCGCCAGCAAGCGGCCAATACAACCTGCGCCGTAGCACACATCTTAGCTTTCCACCAAAAAAAAAAGAGGAACAGCTGTGGAGAAGCAGAGCATAGAATCGAAGAGAACAAGGAAAGGTGAAATCACTGATCGAGAGAGAAACTTACTTTCTCAAAATCGTCACAGTGGCATAAATTGGACACACTGCTGGAACGATACAATCTTTTTTTTTACTTGTTTTAACACACACCTCCGTAAACATTCGCGGCCTCTCTTCACCATCTC